GGTTGGACTGGGTGTTGGGAGGGAATTTTTCCTGGTGAGGCCAGGCAAGGTTCCCAGAGCAGCTGTGGCTGCCCCTGGGTCCCTGGCAGTGCCCAAGGCCAGGGGCTTGGAGCAGCCTGGGATGGTGGAAGTCCCTGCCATGGGGTTTGAGGTCCCTTCCAACCCAAACCATTCCATAATTCCATGCTCTAGGAAAGGCTGAGCAGCTCCTCCATCTCCAAGACATTCATTTGTCTCCCATCCATCTCAAATCTGCATCATCCCAGCTCCTGCCACGGTCAAGGACCGGATAAAAGCCATGGGGGCCGAACTCTGAGCTCATCATTCCCAGAAATTGCCCGGTCAGGGCTCAGCGAGGATTTGGGAATTTGTGGGGGAAGGGAAATAGAAGAAAAAGCCAAAGCAGGGAATATCCTTTAGCAGCCAAAAGGAGGACACAGAACTTTGGGGCCACCTCTTCCCCCTGTGGGAGAGTCCACACGACCCAGCCCCAAGCGTGGTGACCCCATCAGCACCAAAAAACCCCAGCAGCAGCAAAGTCAGGAGCTCTGGGAAGAGAGGGGAGGGTGGTGGGAGGATGGAGCAGCAGGGCTGGGCCAGGAGAGCATCGCTGGCTGTCAGAGCCGCCCTGGGGCTGAGGGCAGCTCCTGCATCTCAAAGGCAGCGCCGAGCTCAGCCCGGCTCGGCTGGAAATAACCCTGGCTCTCTGCTGGCTCACAGCTAAACCGAGCCTCCGGATGGACCCTCTCCCTCCTTCGGAGCTCCTATTAGAGGCTATTGTGGGGAGCTACTCCTGCATTCCCTCCCTGCTGAAGTGCTGGATATTTATAAACTGGGCCAAAGGAAAAAAAAAATATCCTTCACAAAGACAGAGAAAACCCCAAACAACAACAAGATTTGTTGGTTTGGTGGTTGGGGTTTTTTTTCTTTAAATAATGAAGAATTTAAAAATAAGAAGGAATGATGGAAATAACGTGGCAGCCTGAACAACTGGGATGGAAGGGAAGGAGCTGCTCCTCGGAGCTCCTTTGGGATAAATTCAGGACAATCGATACCATTGTGCTGTGCCTGTGGCTGAGACACCACAGCCAGGGGAGAGGGGAGGAAGGGGGTGGAGAGCAGGGAGAGGTTGGCTGTAGGAATATTTAGTTTCTTCCAGATGCCCAAAATTCAGTGGAGAAGGGTGTGGCCAAAGGGGAATGAGATAGGACAAGGGGAATGGCTTGAAAGTGAAAGAGAGCAGAGTTAAATGGGATATTGGGAAGGAATTGTTCCTTGGGTGGGTGGAGAGGGGCCGGGTGGAATTCCCAGAGAAGCTGTGGCTGCCCCTGGATCCCTGGCAGTGCCCAAGGCCAGGCTGGATGGGGCTTGGAGCAGCCTGGGACATGGAAGGTGTTCCTGCCATGGCAGGGGTGGGATGGGATGGGCTTTGAGGGCCTTTCCCACCCAACCCATTCCATGGTTCTGTGGCTGAGGCTGCAGCCCAGTGAGGCCCTGACAGCATGGGGGAGCCCACCCAACACCCCTCAGTTCATTGTTCCCTCAACTTCTGGCCATAAAACCCATCAGGAGTCTGCCAGCAGCTGCGAGACCCCAGGGGGAACATCAAGGTGAGACCTCCCAGAGCAGGACTTGGGACACAGGGAGCAAACCCACAATGACCCCAAGAGGGACCTTGTCCCTTCCACCACAGATCCACACAATCTCCATCACCCCAGTGATGAGCACCACCCTGGTGTTACCTTCTTCCTCCTTCCAACACCTTCCCCTGTCTCCTGCTCACCTGGGAATCTACACCTGCTCAGAACCCAAACCCACAGAGCCAGCAGGACCCTGCTCCCTCTGGATGGGGTCTGGGGATTGATGACACCTCCCCATGCCCTCCCAGCACCCAAAACCTCTGGGGAGGGGACTTTGTGCCTCCCCCAGAGCCTGGGAGCAGCACAGGTGAAGGCATTGGTGAGAGCTCAGAGAGACTCCGAGGTTTTAGTGCAAGGTTTGTGGCACGTGTGTGCACAGGGACAGCTGGGGGGGACAGGGACAGCTGGGGGGGACAGGGACAGCACAGGCCATGGGTGCTGCAGGCTGGGGTGAAAGGCAGGAAGAGCTGGGATGAGAAGGTGGGATGAGCCCTAACTCAGGAACCCCCGATTTCCTGCTGGGGCAGGGAGCAGTTAACCCAAATGAGGGCTCAGCCTGCCCATCCCACTCAGCCTCAGCCCCAAAAGCCATCCTGCCCCATCCCCAGCTCCATGCACTGCCTCCCATCCCAAAAACATCAGCAGGACACTCCTCCAGATCCTTTTGGGGGCTGGATCCACCCCTCCCTGCTCCTGCCCACCTTGGAATTTTCACACGTGCACGCGTGGGGATTTTAATACCCCTACAATTAAAATCCCATCTCATCCCAGCTGCAATTAAGTTTCTAATCTTCATTTACTTATGCTAAAGCACTCCCAACACCAGCGAGGAGGAGCTGGAGCAGCAGCCAGACAAACCAGGGCTGGCTGGGTTTGCAAAGCCTCGTCACGGCTCCAAATTAAAGCGAACTGAGACTACAATTGAATTATCCGGGATGGTTCCTGTCAAGCAATTATGCTCCATGAGAGCCTGGGAATGCAATTTGCTCTCGTCTGACAGCTCATCCGAGGGGCTGGAGGGCCCATCCGAGCTGGGAGGGGAGAGGGAAATACCAGCACGTGGAATTCAGGTGGCAACAGCAGCTCCCAGAGAGAATTTTTGGGGAAACTCTGGGATTTGGCTGATGGGAGATGAGCACGTGGGGGAAACGGTCCTGGGCATGGCTGAGATGTCCCAGAGCGGGGCTGGGAGCTGCTCTGTACAACCAGAGCCTGCCTGCATTCCCAGCTGTAGGAATGAGCCCGGGAAGGCCACAGGAGGGGGGATGGATCCCAGTTCCAGCTGTCCTGCTGTGCCCAGCCCCAGAGCAGCCCCAAAGCCGGGGTTCGGGGAGTCAGGAGCAAAGCCAGGAGCAGGGCAGGGATGGAGAGCAAGGGGGCAGGGCTGGCTGATGAGACACACTCCGGGAAAAGCGGATAGATTAACGGGAATGCGGAGATGTCCCCCGCGGGGGGACACGTAAGTGGCCGCGGCTGGGAGGGAGAGAAGCCACTTGTGAAAGGTCAGCGCTGCCCACCAAGGGGCTGCGGGGCGCGGGGGCAGCGGGACAGATGCATTTCCCCGCGGGGGGCAGCTAATGGCAGTGGCACTCCCTGGCCCCGCAGGATCCGGGGATAAACTCATGAATCAGCGACATTCCCCCTTTTTTCATGACAAAACCGCAAAGAAATAAATAAAGGGAATTAAAGAAACCCACAGAGAGCCGAGAACAAGCCCTCCCCAGCCGAGCATCGTCGTGAGCACTGGATCGGGATCAGAGGAGCCCTGGGGATAAACTGAAGTCATTGTCCTGTGGGTCACCCCTGCTCGGGGGGTTCTGTCCCCAGAGCCGCCGCCTGTGCACGGAGAGCCGCCCGCTGTCCCCATCCCACCGCAGCCGGGCCCTCCCGGGGCTGCTCCGGCTCCTCCCGCCCGCGCCGAGAGGATTCCCGGGATAGTGAAACGCCGCGGGGGAAGATCCCGGTCCCGGCCCGCTGTCGGCCCCGCTGCTCCTTCGTAGCGCAGGGCGGGAAGCGGAGAGGAAGAGGAGACCCCCTGGGGGAGGAAGGCACCGTCCCGTAACTCCTCCCGTCACAGCCTGGAGGGGACACAAGGAGCAGAGTCAGCCCTGGGCGCCTCCTCCCGTGGGACCGTGGGGGTTTGCGGGGAAGATCTTCGGGAAAAACCCTCCTGGAACAGCTTTGCGGAGCTGCTTCCAAAAGCAGCGGCACCGGGGGAAGCCCTGAACTCCTGCACCTCCCTGCCCGGCTCCTGGAGCATCGGCCAGAGGGGAAAGGGCTCCTTGGGTACCCCTCCCATCCCTGTGCATCCAGGATCCCGCGGGGGTTTGTGCCCCGATCCCCTGGATGCAGGGATGCCAGAGCCTGGGGGTACCACAGACAGCTCATCTCTGGGCACAGCCGGGATTCCTGGACCTAACAGGACCTAACAGGAACCTTCCAGGACCTAACAGGAACAACAGCCAGACCCGGGTCCCTGTGGAAGGAATCAGCTCCCGTGGAAAGCTGAGCTGGAGCATCCTGATTAGCAAAAGACTGGGCCAGTAATTAACAGGGAGCTGCGGGGCAGCCCCCGCCCAGGGCAGGCAGAGCGTGGCTCAGTGACTGAAAAAAACATTCCCAAAGCCAGCGGAGCGATTCCGCAGCTGCCTCGGGGCCCGGCATCCTCCAGCATTCCCTGCCCGGCTGCCGGAGCCGCCCTGGAGCGGGAATTAACTCCGCTCCTGATTAACATCTCCCGTTCCGGGCGCTTTGGGGGCCACCTGACCGCGGGCTTTGCGGGGTTCTCCGCAGCCCCCCAGGGACAGGGAGTGGCACAGGGCACATTCCAGACACTCTTGGGGCCGCCCAGAGAAGGAAGAAGGGCAGTTTGTTATCAGCAGCAGGAGAAATCAGCATCTCCCACCCTCTGTAAAGACCAAGAGTGATCCCTGAAGCCCCCAAAATGTTCTCACTTCTCTTCCTGAGCTGACATCTCCTTCCCTCCATCCACTCCCATTTCCAGCCTCCGGGGATGCACGCTGGGAGCAGGAAAAATCCCCCTCGGGAATGCCACCCCCGCACAGGCGAGATTTTGGTTCTGTTTGTCACAACATGACAAATTCCAGGAAGTAAAATGAGTTTCTAAGTGATTGCTCTGCATTTTGCCTGCTGTTCCCAATAGGGCGGATTCCAAAATCCCAACTGGGGACCCACTGCTGCTGTTTCCTGGAGCACAAAGCCAAAGCTACAGAACAGAGCAGGATTTGGCCATGGCAGAAGAAGGGATCAGGCTGGAAGCTGCCATGGCTGAGGGTCTGGGAAGGGTCCCTAGGCAGGACATTCCCCCAATCCATGGGGAGGATGGGCAGGGATGGGGACTTACTCTGCTGACTTCCAGAAGTGCCCCGGGTGGGAAAGGCGGCGGTTGCGCTTTGGCAGTTTCTCCAGCATGTCCATGAGCTTGGTGAAGGTGGGCCTCTCCTCCTGCTCGTAGGCCCAGCAGAACAGGAGGATGTCCTGGAGCCACAGGGAGAGCCCATGAGGAAACCCAGCCAGGCCCTCTCAATTCCAGCAGGAATTGAGCCAGTCCCTCCCACACCACAACCCTCACCCCCAAAGGACCCCATCTCCATCACCACATCCTGGGGAAGGGCTGGGATGGAGGAGATGAGTCCATCCCATGAGGATCTGACTCCATCACTGGATTCTTGTTAAGGATTGGGATGGAAGGGATGTGTCCATCTCATGAGGACCCATCTCCAACACTGGATTTTTGGGAAAGGCTGGGATGTACCCAGCCCGTGAGGAACCATCTCCATCACTGGATTCTTTTGAAGGGTTGAGATGAGGGAATGTATCCATCCCATGAGGAGTCATTTCCATCACTGAATTCTCATGAAGGACTGGGATGGAAGGGATATCTCCATCCCATAAGGACCCATCTCCATCACCAGATTCTTGGGAAGGGCTGGGATGGAGGGAATTTGCCCAGCCTATGAGGGTCCCACTTGCATCCCCACATCCTCATGAAAGGCTGGGATGAAGGGGGGGTGTCCATCCCACGAGAATCCATCTCCATCCCCACATCCTTGGAAAGGGCTGGAGCAAAGGGAACGTTTGAGCTGAGCCCAGCAGCAGGACCAAGCCTGGCTGGATGAGATCAGCAGATCCAGAGGGTTTTTCCAAGGGCCCCACCAGCCACATCCCAGTCCATGCACACCCCCACAGGGCCCCACGGCACCTACCGAGATCTCCTTGCCCATCCCGATCTGGCTGAGGTTGGGCTTCATCCCTCTCCCCACCTGCCAGATTATTGCCTCTGCTGGCTGCGTCTTGAAGGGCCATTCCCGGGCGTGCAGCTCGTACCAGATGGTGCTGTTGGGACACACTGGGAATCAGAGATGGAGCAGCCAGGAGAGATTCGGGATGGGGAGGTGTCCGGCCACTGCTCCCACATCCAATGTCTCTCCCTGCTCCAGAACCATCCAGGAGAGGCTTCATCCCAGGGGACACCAGAGGTGCTCAGCCCTCGATACAGAGGTGTCACCTCTCCCATTTTCCTGGAGCGAGCCCTGATTCCCACCAGGGCAGATCCCAACCCGTGGGAAGGAGGACAGAGGCTGATGGAGGCCCAGGCAGAGCCATCCTGTGCCATCAAGTGGGATTGTCCCACCTGGATACAACAGCACTGCCCATGGAGCAGCTGAAGAGAGGATGGTGGGGATGCAGCTGCCTCTCCAGCAGAACTCCAGGAAGGGACATGCTCAAGAATTCCCTTTCACTCCATCTTTTCCCTTTTTCTCCTCCAAAAAGCTCTCCAAGCTCCAAAAATCCATCCAAGTCATGCCATGACCCATCCCAGGTGTCCTCAGCAGGTGACGGCCACGTGAAGCCCTGGCCATCTGCTCCTGCTCTCATTGCTAAGCCAAGCCCTCTTTTCCGTGAGGAATCCCAAATCCAAGGGAATATCCCAAAACAAGGGCATCACTGGTGGGCACCCCTGTGGTTTTCCGCCCCCGCTACTGCCTGGAAGTTTTGCATCATCATTTTCTGGCACCCGGAGCCTGGATGAGCCTGGATTCCCACAATGCCAGCCCCATTGTCCAAGGCAAACTCCCTGGACCTGCTTTTCCCTCCTAGGGATGGCCTCGTGACCACTAAAATATCAAAACCCAGAGTTAAAATGACACCAGGGTGGAAAAATCTGTCTGATAAACGAAAGATTCCTCCCGGTTAGGGAAGCTCCCTGATTCTAGGAATTGGAATTCTTCTGATTTTGCACAGTTTGGCTGGAAATCTCAAAAAAAATTTTTGAATAATGGGAGAATTATGTGCATGCAGAGGAATGGGGGGCTCAGAGATCCTGTGGGCATAGGACAAAATCCTCAGGAGGAGCATCCAAGCACCCTCAGACTGGATTTAACACATCCAAGGCATTAATTCTGTTTCTCACTGGGAGTTTTTGTCATCTTTAAAAGACCTTTTCCTCTTGCTCTCCCTGATCCCCAAATCCCCTCAGGGAAGCGACCCCTCCGGATCATCCCTGAGCCTCCTGGGCTTGATGGAGGGCAGCAGAAACAAGAAAGAGGGAAAACGTGGGGAAACCTTTTCATCTTTTCAGGAAACTCACGCTTTCCATAACGGTAGAGCTCACAACTGAGGAAAAAAAGGGAAAATTACGTCTCCCCACCCACTCTCACTTAGTTGGATACGATCCTTTAATTACCTCTTTATTTCTCTGCTGAAGTTGTACCTCAGGGAGGGCAGAAAATAAAAGAGCCAGACCCTTCCAGCTGTAATTACTGTGGGTTTGATGGGAATATTGCCTCGGATAGCAGGCCCACGCTCCCTAATCCCACAGCCTTCGAGGTATCCATGAGAAAATTAATCCTCTGGGTAAAGAGGAAAGGTTTTGGGAAAGGTTTAGTGGAGTGGAATTGGGCTCGTGCCCTCAGGGAGGTCTGTGGGCAGAAAAAGGGCAGGAGGAATGAACTGGATTGCTGAGGAAAACTTAGGAATTCTCATTTTCTTGGCTTTTGGCAACTGCTCATAGAGCTGGCACCACCATCAGCCCTCTGGCCGGAGGGGGACATTGGGGTGTCCAGGGGCTCCAGAGCTGTGTCCTCAACTTTTGGCATTCCCATCCATCAACCAAGCACCTTCTCATCAGTTCCCACCCCAGGAGGATGCAGGGGAGAGATGATGCCAGGCTGGCATTCCCAGGATGTTCTGGATCCCATTGCCTGGAGCCACAGTGATCCGTGGCCAGAATAGGAAGATTTGGTAATTTAGAGAGAACTGGGGTGTCCGGGGGCTCCCAGAGCTGTGTCCCCAACCTTTGACATCTCCATCCATCATCCAAGCGCCTTCTCATTGGCACCTGCCCCAGGAGGGTGCAGGGCAGAGATGATGCCAGGCTGGCATTCCCAGGATACTCTGGATCCCATTGCCATGCACCACTCTGGTGCAAAATAGGATTTGGTAATTTGGGGAGAAGTGGGCTCTCCAGGGGCTCCCACACCTGTGTTCCCACCCCAGCCCCTGCATCCCCAGGCTGGCATCCTCTGGATCCCATTATCCAGAGCCAGCCTGCTCTAAAACAGGAGGATTTGGTGATTTAGGGATGGTTTCACTCAGAATTTCTCGAAGCAGGAAGGTTCTCCCAGCCCAGCAAAGGGAATTCCATCCAGCAGCGTCCCCTTGGATTTGGGACAAGCCAAGAGCATCCTCATCCCCTCCTGAGCCCAGAGCAGCTCCCACCTGACCCAACCACTCCAGACCCCTGCCCCGGGACTCACCCCAGTGCAAAGACATCCGAGTGCTTGGAGAAGGGCAGCTTGTCCTCCTCGGTGTCGGGAGAGAGCTGCCGGATGATCTCGGGGGCCAGGTGGCACAGCCAGCCGTTCTGGATGCGCAGCTTGTTCTCCCTCCTGCCGGGACACGGAGCCGTGGCTACCCCGGGCCATGGCACCGCCAGAGCCCCAGCTGCCCACCCTCTTCCCAAGGTTTTTAAGTCTGGTTTTCCCCACATCATCCTTTCAAAGTCAGGTTTTAACACTGCTCTGAGAAATGTCCCTGCCAGGCAGCAGGACAAAACTGGATGGTGGTTCCTGCCGGGGCATGGAGCTGGAGCCGTGGGCACCGTGGAGCAGAGCACCTCCACATCCCCAGTGAGCAGCCCCCAGCTTCCCACCCTCTTCCCAAGGTTTTAAAGCCTGGTTTCCCCCATGTCATCCTTGAAAAGTCAGGTTTTAACCCTGCTCTGGGAATGTTGGCACAGTTGTGCCTGTCCAGGCAGCAGAACAAAACTGGGGCACAGGATGGTGGTTTCTGCTGGGACATGGAGCTGGAGCTGTGGGTACCCTGGAGCACAGCACATCCCCAGCTGCCCACTCTCTTTCCAAGGTTTTTAAGCCTGGCTTTTCCCACATCATCCTTTCAAAGTCAGGTTTTAACACTGCTCTGAGAAATGTCCCTGCCAGGCAGCAGGACAAAACTGGGGCACAGGATGGTGCTTTAGGGGAACTTTGGCTCTTCCAAGCTGGTGGGGCTCTTCAAGGGTCTGCGGGGGCTCCTGCTGTGCCCTTTGCACCAAAACCCCTTAAAGGATCCAGGGGTAAAGTGGGGATGAATTTCCCCAGGGGCCCCACTGTGGTTGGAGCAGGAAGTTGGACTGGGGACCCAAAGTGCCTCTTCTGAGCAAACCCATCCTAAAGTACCAGCCTGGGAATTGGTGTTTTCAGGTGTTCGGCCCCAAAACAGCCCCTCCAAGTCCAAGCCTCCAATGGCATCTCCCATGGGAGCAGCCTGGCTTTATAACAACCCCTCATTTCACCTCATCTGTCCTTCCTCCACCTCCCCAGGCTCCCTCTGCTCGGGATAAATCCATTGGAATCCTTTGGCCAATGGCTGAGGATGACATTGGTGACTTCTCCATCCTTTACATCCTCCAGCAGGCACCTGGGATACATTGCTGGCTTGAAAATCCCTGGATCATCAGTGGTGGTGACACCTGAGGCTGCTCCATCGTGTGTCTGAGTCCAGGTTCAGCAGCAGGAGGGAACAAACCTGTCCCACGTCACCTTGGGCTGGAGAAGGAATTTCTCCCTGTTTGTGCTTGCAACCCTCCCAAAGATGGGGATGAACAGGCCTAAGGGACAGCTGTGGGGCCATCTGTCCTCCTGAATGCCAGCCTGGGGCCAAATTCCCATGGGAAACCATCCAGGGATGGGGCTCCACCTCAAAGCTGGCTCATAATCCAGATCCTCCCGCCTGCAAAGCCATCCCCATTCCCAGTGACAGGTCTGGCTGTGACCAGAGGGACCCCCTCCCTATGGAGGGACACTGCCACTCCAGGGAATCGCTGATGAAGCCTCCTTGTCCCCTCTGGGGTGTCCATGGCTGCTCTCCATCCACACCTTGGAGGCTCCACCGCAATCAGCGGCTCCGGCACGGCTCGGAGCCTCCGGAGCCATGGGAAAAGCACTTGGGCACAGAGGGGAGCCTTTCACTGCCCAGCACCTCCCTCCACCCTCCAGCTCTTAATTACAAACCAGCATTAAGCACCTGGGCAATTAAGAAGGCTCAGGCTGGCTGGTCCTTCCCTGTGCCTGCCTCTCCTTCCTGGGATGCACTGGGCAGCACTTGGATCTGCTCCAGCACCCTCAGCAGGGCCGGGTTTGCTCCTGGGGTTTTCATTCTGCTTTTATTTCTGCTCTGTGACATTCCACAAGCAGCCTCAGGATGCTGCAGGGGCTGGATTGGGATGCACAGCTCATCCCTGGCAAAGCTTCTGTGGGTTAGGAGCTCCCAGCAAGGAGGGCTGGGCTTTCATGGGGTCCCAGAAGTGGCTCAGTTACAGCAGTTGGAGGGTTTATGACCAAAGTTTACCTGACTTCACAGCCACACCCAGCTGAGCATCCTCCAAGCCACCTCCAGGACAAAAGCAGGAGCAGAAGAGCTCCTCAGACTCCTCAAGACCCACCTCGTGCTCCTCCTAATTCCAGAGCAGCCCCACCGAGCCCAAGAACATTTAAATAAAGGAGGAATAAATCTGATTTCAGCAGGATGAGACCCCAAGTCACCCAATCTCTGCAGGAAGTGTTTTAACCCCAGGAAAACCAGCTGAAGAAATGTCACTATCCTTAACCTGACCTCCAAAAATGTGCTTCCTTCCCAACAGATGTTTTTCCAAGGCACTAAGGACCCAAAATTTGGATTTATCTCCTGTCTTCATCTGAGAGACACCAAAACCAGCAAAACCCCACCCTGAAAAGGGGAGATCAGACCTGCAGACACCTCCTGTTCCAAAAATCATGGTGGCTGTGGATCCCTGCTCTCCTCTCAGCTCTCCTCCAGCAGAAAACATCTGCTACCAGCAGCCCAGGGCACAAATTTTCTCATTTTCTCAAATTTTCCAGCAAAACCCTGCTCATTTCTCTCCAGCCTTGCTTTCCTGGCCATCCTTCCTCTCCTGAGTCATCTCCTGGATTCTAACCCCACAAGGGACATCCCAGTCTTGGGCAGAGGTGGCCACAGATTGGCCACCTCATCAGAAACTCTATTCCCCCATTTCTCATTCCATCTCTGGAGCATCCCTGACCTTCACAGCAAAGATTCCTGGCAAAGCTTGGGAAGTTTTGCCCAAATCCTCATTCCCTGCTGGAATGAGCTGTCCCTTCCTCCTGGCAGGCCCTGAATCCCAAACCCCCTGCCCAGCTGCCAAACCAGAGGCAAACCCCACTTTGCCACAGCGGAAGATCCTGATTTCCTGGCTTTCCAAAGTTTTTGGCCGAGTTTGTGCTGAAATCCATTAATATTCATCCAGGCAGAGTAGAAAATCTGGGAGTGCACGGTGTGGGATGGAGAGAGGTGGCCACTGTCATATCCTTTAATTCTTTGAAATCATCACTGGGAAATTGGGGAAAAAATCGATCATTTCCAAAGTGCTTTTTATCTCCTGAGCATCTTTGCCATGGAGATGGAAGGACCAGGAGAAAACTGCCCACACCTGGGCTGTGCTGCTCCTAACACAAAGGGTTTAGAGGGAAATCCAACACAAAGGATTTAGTGGGCAAGGTGGGAAAAGTCAGCAATATTCCTATTCCCCACTTGAAAAAAAATGGAAAATATCATCTCTGTTCTTCCTTCCCCGCTTCTGTTTCCTTTTTCCACCCAGCTTTGCTTTTTCTCCTTTCCACAGTGGCTGGAACTCTTTTCCCTGCCATTCCTACAGCTGGAAAACCTCCCAAAGCATCGGGACAAGAAATTTAATAATGAACATTTACCAAAACCTTCAGATTTAAACCCTCCGAGGCCACAAAATGTCACAATGTTGTGAAAGTCCCAAACTTGGCTCTCATTTTCCATGTCTTGCTCCATGCCCAGCACAGACAACATGGCCAGATGTCTGTGATTCCCAAAATGTCACTGGAGTGGGGACAGCACAGGGATGGCATCACTCAATCCAGGCAGGGGATGAAGCAGATGTCAGGGAATTATAACGATGGAAAGGGAAAAGCCAAGGAATGAACCAACCCTGCCGCCACAGGGGCATCTCCTGGCTGGCTGCAGGGTGGTTTGGCCATGGAAATGATGCATCCCATGGGAAGAGGTTGGTCTAAGGGGCACAATCTGCCTCTCTGAGCCAAAATTCCAGAGGCTCACACACGGCATCGTGTTCCTTCCTACAGATCAAAACCAATTCCCTTCAAACAGAGCAGCCCCACGACACTCAAAAGCCTCTTGAGCTCCTGTCTGCCAAGGCTGGGGACAAAAAGAAGCACTTGGAGAGGGATTTTTTGGGATCGTTCCCAGCCTTAGGGCACAGGGAGGAGCTCCAGTGTGTCCATGTCGTCCTACCTGCCCGCTTGGAGAACCCCGGAGATGCTGAAGAGCCCGAAGTCGGTGATCACCACCTTCCCGTTGTCGTAGAAGACATTCTTGGACTTGAGGTCCTTGTGGAGGATGCCCTTGGCATGCAGGTATCCCATTCCCTGGAATGGAACAGAGAGAGAGAGAGAGAGGAAAACACCCCGAGGTTACAAAAGCGGCACAAACGGGCGGGATAACGCCGGAGTGGTGGCATTCCCATGGGAACCATGAGCCACCACGGCACATCCAAGCTGGACCACGTCCCCAAAGGGCCCTGCAGGAAGAGAAAGTGTCTGGAAGGGATGGGCTCCTGGAGGGAGATGGGACCCCTGGAATGGAACAGAGAGAGAGAGAGAGAGGAAAACACCCCGAGGTTACAAAAGCGGCACAAACGGGCGGGATAACGCCGGAGTGGTGGCATTCCCATGGGAACCATGAGCCACCACGGCACATCCAAGCTGGACCACGTCCCCAAAGGGCCCTGCAGGAAGAGAAAGCTCCTGGAGGGAGATGGGATTGTGGAGTGGGTATCCCAGCTGCCACAGCGCCCACTCATCTTCCTGATTAATTGATTTCACAGGAAAAATGAGCGGCAAATCCACCCGGCAGCCGCTTCCCTGGAATCCTCCGCTGGGAAATGGATGGTGATGATGTTTTCTCCTCCAATTTTTTGGGGGCTGGCAGAGGAGGGTAATAAGTCACCGCTCCCCACAGCCCTGGCGGAGCCATCGGCGCTTCCGACGGCCCCATCCGCCTGGAAACGGGCGCCTCGCAGGAGTCCTGCCTTAATTCCTTCCCCTCAGGAAAAACTGCTCGGTGGTTAATTAAAATTAGTGCTAATGAGGCACAAAAAGGCCATGGGTGGGAAATCCAAACTCTCCTGTTTAGCCTCGGCAAATCAAGCAGACTGCCGGCAGCTCCGCGTGGCGGATGTTCAGCACCGCGGGATAATTCTGGGAATGGGGAGGGGGATAAAACACATTTATCCCAACTTCAGCAGGGATTTTCATGCTGTCCCACTTTTCACTCTCCTAAGCAGACTCGGGGAAAACTTGATCTGCAGGATGCTGCTGAAGGATCAATGCCCAACAGGCCGGCAAACTGTTGCTTAAGAGGGAATATTGGTTGTCTGGCACTGGAAAAGGGGGATTTAACTGGAATTCCATGGGGATCCATCCTGAGTCTCGTCTTTTCATCTATCATCATTAACCACGCAGGCTGTGTGAGAAGAATTTATTTTTAAGCTGGTGGCTGATGCGGAGCCAGAAGCCCAATCCAAATTCCACCATCTGGAAAAAGTGGGAAAACAAACAGAAAAACAGAAAAACACCCCAACCCAGCAAGAAATGGGAGTTTCACTGTGCCCCGTGGGGAGAAAATCCAACTGAGCGTCTGCCAAGGGATGCTGGAAAAAGGAAAGAATTTGGGGTTGGATGCCAGGACCATTCCAGGCACCGGGATTAATTAGGGGTCTCCAGTTCCCAGCACATGAAATAATGATGAGGTTTAAAAATCGGCTTTCAAATGTCACTGTCACCTCCAGAAAGTGCCAGGGTGGAGCAAGGAGCAGCATTCCAATGTTTCCCTGGCCAGGTGCAGTGCAGGTCCCTGAGCATCCATGGATGAGCCCCAGTGCCACGGGAATGCTCTGCAGCCCCTTCCCATTGTTTGAGGGTGCTGGGATCCCAGAGCAGCATCAGGACCTTGCTCCCACCTGCTCCCACATCCAGCAGGGAGCTCATCTCCAGGGAATCATCAACACAGCCCGGCCTTTGCTGAAGGAATTTCTCCAGTCAAACCCCAGTCCCTCACTTCGCTCCATGCAGATCTCACTGCAAATTCCAGTCCTGCCACCTCAACCCCTGGGATGATCCCTGAGGAAACACTCTGGGCCCAGTAATGCCTTAATTTGCTCGGCTGTGTGAAAAGCCAGCTCCCTCTGCCGGCACCACTCCCGGGACAAATCATCCTTCCCCTCCCGGGATCAATCATCCTCCCCCTCCCGAGGATCTCGGGATAACCTTGCACCCACCAATCCGAGGGGCTGAGCCGCTCTCCCATCACATTCCAGGACTCAAAGGATAAAATCAAACAACTGCTGTGACTGTGCAGCAGATCCAAAGCCTCCGGACAATGCAGCTCCAAGCGCAACCCAACCAAGGTGTTGGGGTTTTCCTTCTCGACACCTGCCACTTCCAAGTCTCCCAAAACATCTGGGGGACTTGGAAAGATTTGGGGGAAGGATGGGAAAGCTGGGAAGCTGCTCCTCAGGAGGAATGGGCTATGTGGTTGGATCATTGCATTCAGGAATTCCCTTTGGTGTACAGGGAGAGCCTTTGGAGCTCTGCTAATTCCTCCAGGGATCTGGGGTGGATACAAAGCCCCTCTGCCTCTCAACACCACAGAGCTGGAGGTTTCCAACCTGTTCCTAACAGGCACCAGCTGCAGAAAACAAGGATGTCTCAGCCTCAACCTTGAAACCCACATGGAGCAGCGAACCCACGCAGGGAAAGGGGCTGAACGGAGCTGTTATCCCACTGGGAACATCTGGAAGGCAAAAGCCCTGAGCACAAAAAGGGGGAAAAATACAAGGCTAGACTGTGATGCTTCAAATGTCTGCTCAGCAGGAAAAATCCATGTCTAAAAGGTGGAAAACACGGATCAGAAGTAGGAATTACGAAGGAAGAGGCTCTGGGCTGCCTCAGGCACCCCCAGCTCAGGCCGTGGCCCCGAGGTAGCTGAAGGTCCAGGCTGTGCTCACCTGTCAGCTCCTGCCTGGAGAGTCCAGGAGGATTGAAGGAATTTAAACTTTAAAGTTAAAACTGGGTCAAAATAAACACAAAATAGGCAATTTAATAAGGACCATCCAGGGAAAAGGCACCGCCCAGGAAATATTGCTGAACACATTCTGCTTTCAACCTGGGTTTGAATATTTAAGGGGGGCTAAGGTCTGCCAGAAAACCTGATATTCTGTTGTTTTCCCACAGTTAAATGTGGGATCAGCTCCAGGGGGGAAAGTGTTGGCTGACCTTGGGCAGGACACGGGGCACTCTCACAGCTCCCATGGCAGAGCAAGTGCCAAATATTTCTGGTGATAAATCTGTTTGGAATCACAGCACAATCCCGTTCTGGCAGGCAGCTCCACACCTCAGTGCTGCTGCTGACATCCCAAGGGAATGTGAGGGCTGTGAGGGCTCAGGACCCTGCCCATGGTAAGGGGAGGAATGGGATGAGTTTTAAGCTCCCTTCCAACACAAACCATTCCATGATTCCGTGATTATTACATTTTTTTTCCAAGAGGAGAGGAATACCCCACCAGGAACTCCCCCACAGCAGCAATGCTGGATTTAAACACCTGAAATTCCAGCAGGGAGAGGAGCAGTGGCCAGGATGAGCCCCCAGCACAGTGAGCCCATGGAAGCCTTAGTGCCACCCCGATTCAACCACATGAGAGAGGTCAAAGACACCTGGGTTTTAAAATCAAGGAGGTCTAACCTGCCCACAATCCTTGGATTTTAAAGCCAAGCAGAGCTATCCTGCTCAGAATCACTGGATTTTAAAACCAAGGAGTTCTGTCCTGCTCAGAATCCTTGGCTGCTCCTCTCCTCCTCCCCAGAATGACTAGACTGGGCTCTTGGCCGGGTTTTTTGCAGGATCCAGACCCCACCAGACCATACCTTGACAATTTCTTGTGCTATCTGCCTCGTCTTGTTGACATCCAGGACAATTTTGGCATCCCTCACCACGGAGTAGAGAGTCCGTCCTTTACACAGGCTGGAAGGACAGGGAAAGGGAAAGAGAAGTTACAAACCCTCCCGGAGAAACAGCCCCAAATCACAAATTAATAAATAATCACAGGATTTTGGCCAGATTTTGGCCTCCTGGCTCGAGGCAGGTTGAGAATTCCGCAGGGAACTGGGGGCTCATTCAGTTTGGCACTGGGAGGGAGTTCTCAGTGTTCCTGGCATGTCCTGGTGGCACCACCGTGGTGCCACAAGGGACAGCCTGGGCTGGCCCCCGGCCTTTCCCTGTGTCCCAGCGTGGAGCAAACCACCTGGTCCTCCCATCTCCGCGTTTTTGTGCAGAACTGGCCGTGGCTCCCTTCTCTCCTCCTCCCCCCTCAGCATCCAAAGCTCACAGATGTAAAATGAGTCAAAAGAGGAAAGACAGGGAGGGAAAAAAATCCCCCAACCCAACCCCATGCACTGTACAATGTCCTCCAATTTTCCTTCTCGTACCAATTACAGTAAAATCTATTTACAGAGCCTTAATTACCAAAGGCAGCTGGATGGGGGGGGGGATGGATATAAACCAATTAAAAATATATTGACATTTGAATATCATAATGGAGGACGTGGGTGGCTGCTGCCTCGACTCCCGCCCACAAAAAAGAGCTCTTTTTTTTGCTTTTCTCTATCCACCCACGCTCATTCCAGGCAACTTTGGAAAGATGAGACTGGATACCTGTGCCTGGGAAATAAAACACCCAACACACAGCTTGTTAAAGAGGTTTGGTGGCTGCAGATGTTGATTTGATTCTGTTCTGGTTAACAAATTAAAAGTTCTGGGGTTTCATTCTGCTGCTTTCCCCACCTCGGCTCCACTGCTTTCCCCTCACCCAGTTCCTCCTGCCCTGGGAATTCCAGCATGCACTGGTTTGGATTCAATCCCTGGGAGAGGTTTTGTCCTTTTTGGGTGGAAATAATCACAGAATCATAAAAGAGAATCACAGAATGGTTTGGGTTGGAAGGGACTTGAGGGACCATGTAGTTCCAGCCCTCTGCCATGGGCAGGGACACCTTGTGTGGGGCTTGGAGCAGCCTGGGATAATGAAAGTGTCCCTGCCATGGCAGAGAGTGGAAATGGGATGAGCTTTAAGGCCCCTTCCACCCAAACCATTCCATGAGTCCATGAAACCCAGAAGAACCCCAAACTCCAGAAGCTCATGGATACAAAGGATCCTCCTGGTCCTAAGCCAGAAGCTCCACATCGCTTCATGGGCAGAATTTTCAGGACAAGCAGTGAAACAGGAATGGGATCAATCCCCACATCCCACAGGTTTTGGAAAGACAACAGCACCCTTCCAAACATTTCCTCACTGGGAGCATTAGGAATTGTCCAGCTGAGCACAAGTGAGCTGCAGTGGGGACTTAGGGCAGCAAGTGCCTCCTCAGGGGTGGTTTTCCTTGCTCAGGTGTCCCAGCAGCTCCCTGAGCATCCCAGCTGGATTTAGCCCGAGGCAGCTGCACTCCCTCTGAACCATCTTCTCCTGCAACACTTGGACTGCAGTCAAATAAGAATTTGCTGGAGATTAGGATCCGAGCACTTGGAAATCAGTGATAAAATCCTCGGGTTTCTGTAACCGGAATGAATCAAAGTGTGCAGAATAACGATGGACATGAATTGTCCTTCCACCACTTGTGTTTTCCTACACTAATTTGCCATATAAACCCACCAAACTTTAAGCTGTGCCACACAACAGCCTTTTGCCACCTCCATGACCTGCCTGCACCCACAGGAGTTCCCCCAGTCCTTCCCAACCCCTGGAAAACACGTTTTCTCACAGAGAAAACCTTTTTACAGCCAGTTGCCTGTGATCTGAATTGGTCACAAATCGGCACTGGAAATGCAATGAGTGAATTAGGCTGGGTTCCAGCCCTAAAGCAAGTTAAGATCAGCTGTTTTCCTGGGAAAGGATTGTTTAGGGGAAAATCCTCACATTTCTGCCTGTCTAAACTGCTGAGATAACCCCAAGCGCGGAACTTGCAGCCTTTTGCTGGTGAGATTTCCATCTTTCCACTTCATTTACAGGATTTCCAAATACTTCCCAGCGGATGGAGCTGCTGCAGGAGAACAGCCAGACCTGGGGTGGTGGCACCAGGACATATCCCTGTCACCTCTGGTCCTCAGACCCTGGCAGAGCCATCAAAGCAGCCCAGGTGCTTCTCCCCTCCCCTCGATGAATAACGCTCAGAATGAATTCACCGAGCGCCTGCCGCACCGGCACATCCGACCTTTCTTGCTGGATAAGGAGCTGCCAATGTGGAGATAAAGCCCTGTTGATACCTTTTATGCAGCACCTGAGCCCATTCAGGCACCACCTGCAGAACCTTTTCATGGCACAGCTCCACAATTCCGCTTCTCCTCGTTCCTCAATCGCTCCCCATTCGGGCAGGACAAAGAGCAGCACCCAGGGCACGCTCGGAGTCTTCTGCCTTTCCACTTGGAGAGGTCCCTGCTGAGCGTGGCTTTGAGGGACACGGCTGTGGATGACAAGGCCACAAAATGCCTATGCTTGATGCCAAAAACAAGGCAGATAATTTGCATCTTCAGATGGATCCCGGGTTATTTAGTGCTGAAGTGAAAATTCATGAGGAATTCTTGTCTTCTTCTCCCAAACTTCTCCATCCCACCTGGCAGCAGAGCGGGTTTATGACACGTGCCCAGTGCCACAAGGTGACCAAACACCATCCAGAGCTGGGGGGTGGCTGGGACAGAGATGCAGAGATCCTTCTGGGAGTCCTCAGGAGAGCACCTCATCCCATGGTACATCCACATCCACATTCCGGTGCCTTTCCCGGCATCAGGACAGGCCCAGCCCCATCCTGCTGCAGATGCCACTCTCAATTCAAAATGAGTTTTTGAAGTGTTCAGCCAAGCAAGCCAAATCCCAAATTGCTTTATAAACACTCTGCATTCCCAACGTGGGCTGGAGACATCAGCAGCGGGAGCAAAGCCAAGGCGGCTCGCAGAGGAACAATTTGGGATGAGGGAGGAAGAGTTGGAGCGCTGCCTCTGGGTGTTTTTGCTGTTCCATGAGAAAACAGCCTCATCCATCTTCCATCCTTTGCGGTTTTTTACCCCTCTCTGCAATATTGATGGTGCACTCTGTGCGTTGGTGGCCAACACCTCTACATTGGTGGTCATTGTCTCTACGTTGACACCCGTTACTCCTACACTGTTGGCCACCACCTCTACACTGGTGGCCACCACCTGTACATTGACGGCCACCGTCTCTATACTGATGGTCATTGTCTCTACACTGGGGGCCAACATCTCTACGCTGGGGGCCATCACCTCTACTTTGATGGCCATCACTTCTGTCCTGGTGACCATTACCTCTACATTCATGGTCATCACCTCTACCTTGATGGACATTGTCTCTACACTGGTGGTCAACATCTCTACACTGATGGCCGACACCTCTGCATTGATGGCCACCACCTCTGAACCGGTGGCCAAAATGCTACATTCATGGCCAACACCTCTGCAAGGACAGAGACTCCATCCTGGCCCCTGCTCAGGAGCAAGGATCATCCCGAGCCGAGAGTTGTGGGGCGCATTCCATCACTCCAGGAGCTTTGTGCTTCTCTTCCCTCTTCCCATCCACATAAACGCCCATTCAATTAAAGAGGTGATAAATGCCAGACCCCGAGAAGTTCATTCCTTGCCGGGATATGGATTTATAGGGAAGCAGCTTGGATACCATGGAGACAGCCAGCACTATGGACCCAGGGGAGACACTGAAGAAGAGAGCGAGGTGGGGAATTAATAAAAAATGCTTTCATATAAAAATACCTCTGCTCCCAGGTTACATCTGTGCTGGAAGAAAGACACGGCAAAGGATGCTTGGATGCTCCCACATTCCCCAGCAGTTTACCCACTTTGAGGTTTTCATGGAAAAAGGACCCTTTGGGGAATGTTAAGAAAGAAACAGCAACAGGAACCACTGAGCCAGGACTTATTTGATTTCATTTGAGCAGGACCAGAGAGGGAAAGAAGGAGCTCTGCTCACTCCAGCACATTCCTGACTTATTTAGGAAGTTTTCCAGCTGCTCCCATATATTGGCTTGTTTTTCTCTTTTCCCAGTGTCTGGCAACGGTGCTTTTGGAACTCAACAGCTCCTGAGGTGTTTCACACAAAGGAAAATTGAACAAGGCTGTAAGAGCAGCAAGGGGAGAGCTTTGGATTAATTTTTATCCCGAGGTTTTGTTTTCCTCTAAATGGATAAGGAATTTCACCCCCTTGATTCCCTGCCAAGGCCAGAGCCAGCAGTGTAGGCATCCAGCCTGAAATTCCTCAGCCCTCTACCCAAACTTCATGACCATGATCAGGGAGGAAAAAGGATATGAGGGAAAATTTCTTCACTGAAAGAGTTGTCAAGCCCTGGCACATCCCTGGAGTTCCAGTCTCTGGAGGATTTAACAGCTCTATGTGGATGTGGCACCTGGGGACACGGATCAGTGGTGGCCTTGGCAGTGCTGGGGGAATGGTTGGAATTGGCAATCTTAAGGATCTTTTCCAATCCAAACAATTCTGTGCTTCTATGGAAGCAGCAGCCAAAACTCAGTGCCAGAAAAGGCGTGGACTGAGCATCCAGCAGATCCCAGCCCCTCTAGGCTGGAAATACTCATCCCATCCAACCCATTCCAACTGAACCCAAAGCAACCTCAATGGGAACCCAGGGAATTCAATTCCTGCCATTTCAAGCAGAGCCCATGTCCCCAGCCCAGAGATGGGAGAGACCCTCCTGCTGCTCATGGAGGAGCCTCTGCAGAGCCAAACCAGCAGGTGGAAACAGAAAAGCCCTGAAGAGCCAATGCTCCCCTCATCCCACTATCTCCAGCCGATGGAACACCGGCTTTTGATGGATATTACTTAGGCAGCAAAATTTTCCTGCCGGCAGCTGGCACGCGAGATAACTACAGCCAAACCACAAGGGCTGCAGGAGGAGGAGGAGGAGGAAAAGGAGGAGGAGGGGGATCTGCCTCCC